CCGACCGAAGCCGCCTCACCGACCCCTGCGTCCGCCTATCCTAGTCTACACAAGTTTGGGTGAGAAGTAGGCTTGCTTTGCCCAGGGATGGATTTAGGAGGAAGAAACCCGTGAGCCGCCTGACTCCGCCCGACTTCCCGGAGACGGCGCGTTAGTGAGTCTGCCGCCCAGTGTGTTCACGGGTTCGTGGACCCGCCACTCCGAAACCACCGTGCCGCTCCAGACCCCTGCCGGGCGCCCCGGAAGCGGGCTGCACCTTCCCTCGACTTACCTGCTGGGCACAGTGTGCCCAGGGACAAAAGGAGGCCTGGGACCGGAGCGGGGCGCCCAGCGGGAGGTTCCACTTCAACCTGCCCCGACCCTCCGGGGTACTTGAGGGGAGCCGAGGCTAAGTGCTTGAATGGAGAAACAGGTCTCCCTCCCTGAATGTCGGCTGAGGACTGAAGAGTGAAAGGAGGGACCCTCCTAGGAACCTAGGTGTGACCTTCATCGGCAAAGAAAGAAACTTGCTTCATCTAGACAACGACTCCAATGCGTTTACCCAACTTCTTGTTTTCTTCTGATGCGTCCTTGGCCCAGATGTCTGAAGATAATCTAGGGATTACAGCGAATCACAAGGAAGAAATTCAGACCTTGTGAACTTTTCCAGGGGTGTACAAGTACGCCAAGTGAAGTTTCAACTCATTTCTTTTTCTGATGGGGGGAGTTGAGACAGAGTCTCACTGTGTAGTTGAGACTGACCTGGAACTCGCCATGTAGCCCAGGCTGGTCTTGAACTCACAGCGATCCTCCTGCCTCAGCCTCCCGAGTGCTGGGATTACGTCAACCCTTATTTCTTTCTTATTCCAAATTACTGTATGTAAAATGAACACAGACCTGCCAACTTGCAAAGGATAGAAGAGTATTTCGTGGGGAGGGGGTGGTTTTTGGTACTGGGAATTGAACTCAGAGCCTTCACTTTGAGCTATATTCCTAGTAGCCCCACCCCACCCGCTCTTTTTTTTTTTTTTTTTTTTTTTTTTGATGGAGGGATACCGGGGATCGAACTCGGGTCCTTGTGCTTGCAAGGCAGGCAGCAGAACCACTGGCTCTTTTTTTCTAATTTTGAGACAGTGTCTTGCTGAGTTCCCTAGGCTGATCATGAACTAAACATCCTCCTGCCTCAGCCTCCTGAGTGCTAGGATTACAAGCGTGGGCCACCAAGGCAGTTTACTTTTTGTTAGTTCTCTAGCCTCCCAGACTCTTGGGGCAAAATCAAGCCCAGTACAGAAGGTCAAACCAGAAGTTGTTTCCCTCCTGATCCAAGAATGCTTAGGAAGTTTCACATATTTCAAAAGGGGAGAGAGAGAACAAGTCTAGCTGAAGGTAAGGGCAAAAGGCAAGGCCTAGCGCCACCAAGAGAGTAACCTCCACCCAGTGATAGGGCCAGAGAACCACAGAGGAATGGTGTGCATGTGGCTTGCCTCATATTCCAGCACAGAAGAAAAGCAGACGAGGCAAGCTGTAACTGGCCAGTGATCAAAAAAGTGACTCCTTAAAATGACATAAATGTCATCGCAAATTAGGAAAGAAGAAAAGAGAAAGAGCGCTGTACAAAGCCAGCTGAGTTCCAGCTCAGCGCTACAGAAAAGCTGCGTGGGACTATTGTCTAGTCTTTCCGACCTTCACCAGCCTCATGTGTAAAGGAAGGCTGGAGCTAAGGGATTTTCCAAGTGGAATAGTCCGTGACTCCCATTTTAAGTAAATGAGAATACGGGGAGAGAGGAGATTTTAGTTTCCCTTTTTCCTAGTTCATTTTTCTTTACATTTCAGAGAACTTGGACATCACACGTCTACTCACAGTTCTGCTCTATGCTTCACACCCATCCCAAAGGAAACTGCTTGTACAAATTGAATGAGTTTGTCCCCCCAAAATTAGTGAGTCTTCTCACTACATAGGTTACCGATTGCTTCCGTGTGTGAAGCATCGTACAAATGGAAATATGAACAGTAAGTCGAGAATACAAGCAGTTGGGCTAATTTGACCCAGAGAGAAAAGGATATAAAGTGATTTAAACTTGGGCTCAAAGTATGTTTGGTCACATGGCAACTCTGTGAGACTCAACCTGTCGTGGACTGACAGTAGGTAGCATGCCACATACAAGGTCCCAGTTCTATCAGCTGTGGAGGACTCAGACATGGATGGACACTGGGCATGGTGCATGTGCTGCCCATCCCAGCCCTCTGGGAG